TGATGCTTAACTTCAAACCGAAACGATTGAAGGTTTTGCCACCGAACCCAGCGGAGCTCGAACGAGCCCGGGCGTATCGAGTAAAGCAACGTCGCGCGAACGATATCATGCGTGAAATTTTCTTCTACATCATATTTCTTGTGCTATTGTTACTTGTCACTACTGGATTCCGTGATCCGAATGCCTTTATGCTGAAGAAAAGTTTGCAGGCTACCTTCTTCCCAGACAGTTACGACCAGGTGAGTGTTTACTTTTCATTTTGTTATTATGGATAGCTTTGGGGAGCACAAGGAGTGCTAATCAGTATTGTTTAGTTTTTATTACAAGACTATTCTAGTGGATGATGAGAAGAACGCATATTTTCATGCTGGATTGACTCCACAGTCCGTTTTCGTCGGATTGTCTGACTCACTCTGTATCGCAGTGTCCCGGGCTCATGTAACCTAATCGGATATTGACTATCTCGTTTGTTGATAATAACTACCATCTAATATGCCTAAGTTCAGTGAGATAAGATGTTCCGTCTGCATATGCTGTGTCCCGTGCGTGAAGTTTTTCGACTCACAACTCAAAGGCTTTCAGCTAGAGTCCGATAGGGCAATAAAAACAGTATACACTGCTGACAAACTCGATCCAGTTAGGACGAAGTAACGATCCAATGCACTTAGTGAGTCTTCATACAAAATGACCATTGCATACAAAGTGTGTGCAACATGTGACAGTTACGTGCTATCCCCAGGAGTGAAACCTTCAACAAAAACAAGTCATACGCAGCTCTACGTGGTAGTGAAACACATCATCACATCAACCAGGAAGTGTCAATCTATCTCACTCCCTATGCACTGCATATGCACACAGATTTAGACATTAGTAGTACGATGAGAACTTCATGACTGTCAGTCTCGATGTGCCTAAGTGTTATGTACCTGAATGGATAGGAAATCAACCATCTCTCACTTTGAACCATTGGTTACTGTCAATATTGTTTGAAATTTTAGTATTTCTGATATGCATGCAACGTACCCCATGTTCCCATGATCTAATCGTAATTGCTTTAGTGCCATTCATCTCAATGGTTGGTGACCGTAATAGTGGCCGAGCGGTTTAAATCGCTGTTACTGATGTGCCCCAGGGTCCGAGGTTCGAACTCACTACCACAACCACCTGTATTTCACAGTAATCACCTTCGTCGTCTCCCTGTCTTTACGCCACGCCTATGCTAGTGGTGCCTTATTTGTTTCAGCACTCCAAGCTCTGGGGTCCAGTTTAACTGTTTCCATGAGAGAATAACAGGTCCAAGTGACTAAGAGTTTTCCCCTTCTTCTGTTCATCACACCATATCGCGTTTAAAAAAAATTGATTCATACCGGCTTATTATTGATTCCTGTGCACTCTCCTGACTTTATTATAATGATGTTCTAACTTAGTAGCATGTCACAGCACAGATTTAGTTGGACTGCGCCTCGGGACAAAAGTGCTGCACTTTCTAGACTTTTGAATTACCTCCGCTCCCACAATCACGATCGTCACCACTTTTGACAATGCACCCGACAACCAAATGAAAAACCGAAATGCAAAATGTATTCAATTTATCATTTATTTTGTCGGAAGCTTATTGAAAGAAAATGGCATTTGCGCCACAACAAAATATTCTATCCCAATGAACTTTGCCCATTGAAGCCAGCTCCTTACCAGCCCTATTGGTCGCTCAATCTCAAAACTTCTGTCCTCTCTTATAAGATTTTGAATCATGTCCGAGTCGATATTATCCCACTAAAAGATGCTTCTGTTTCGTACCTCCGGAGTGTTGGTACATCTTTCGGGCAAAACCAACCCAAACGTTGTCCGTTGTGTTCAAATTTTAGCTGCATGCAAGTCACATTATTGCTTTGATACCGCCAAATAAAGACCAAGATTTTGCTTAATACGAATTATGAACTACGGTATTATCATGCTGTAAAATGGTCTCAAGATGATCATTCAACATCATTACTGACATGGGTTGTCCAATACATGATTCATGGAGTTAAAGGACATAAATTCTACATTTATCTTTCCCGTGAGCCTTTTCTGGCGTTCAATCTGTTTCGGACTGGTTTTTAGCCGTTTTCGCTTTACATACCGTGCAACAGTGCATTGGGATCTGTTACATCGACTGACTATCTCGTGTGCTGTCAGTCATTTCAGTAAAGACATCCATTCTGCATTTCTGGCTATCAATAAGGCTCTTCTAACGCCCCATAGTTGACACCGTTAGAAGTGACTTACTAGGAGGTCAATATTCTTTCAATGTCATTTGGAGTAACCTAAGTTGTGGCCACTGTCACCAGGGTGTCACAGGACCGTAGCTTACATCGGTTTGTCGACCACTGAATTACCGCGGTTGCCAGTTGCCATACCGAAGTACCAAATTGGAATGTCTAGAACAGCGGTTTTTAGAGTTAACTGTATGAAGTCCATGGGATGGGACGAAATACATTTTTGGGCTGAAAATTCTGTTTTTCTCGATAAATGTTCCTTAAAATAAAGGATGTTTTATTTAAGTTTAGTATTGATCACTGGACTCTCAAAAATGTTGATGATCGTGCTTGCAGAAAGGTGTATATGTTTCATTTGAGAACGGCAAACTGTGGTTGGATCTTCTTCCATTCAGCGCACCTCATTGATCAATTAACCACACGTTTTCTACCTTTTGATTGACTACCTGTCCGCCAACTCTCTTTCTTGGTTGCAATCTTTCGATTGGAGTTAACACATAGTCAACTGTTTCTCCCTTCGGTGGGCCCAGTTAAACTGACTATCACTGAAGTTGACACGTGAACAAACATGAATTGGCAATTCGGCTCAGCTCTGGTATAAGCTGGTGAAGGCGAAGTCGCAAGGATGGTTAGTTAAAATCAATATCAATTATCGTACACAAATACTCACAAGTAACTATGAGTTGAAGGAGAAAGCTTGCACCTTAAAGNAGAGCTTGTTGACGGACGTGGATTCGATGCTTTGGTGAAGCCGTGCGATTTGCGAGGGACAGCGAAGCTGACCCAAAATCGAGAAACACTGTTTACTGTGCGCCAGAGCTAGGCCAGAACTGTTCATGGTTGATCGGACATTGGTTAAAGCTTCATCACTAAAAGTTATCAGGGTAACTACGACCAGGGACCAGTTCAGCGCTTACGGCGTATTCCGAGCGATGCACTTTTAATTGCGCGGATCACGGGTCTATTTGAATAGCAAAGGCAGCAAAGGAATTTCACATGACCCAAGGGTCACCCAGGGGTCATCAAACAATGAGATGATGATGAGGGATGAGAATAGTACACAGGGGTTTGGGACCGATTGCATTCAGTGTGCGTAATTAGGAGCAATATTAAAGCAGACTACCAACTGTTCACCAAGCCGGAAACAAACTGCTGAACAAACAATTCACCTATGGTTCATTTACACTTTAGCCCAATGAAACTGTGTCAAATGGCAAGGTGTGCACACAATCTGAATAGTCTGTGCATCTGGAGAGGAAAGTCAACTGTTCTGTTGGGACCTCTTGCTGCTCCTGAATAACAAGTGATGGTAATCATTTATTGCAAGATGGACAGATGGTGACAAATTGCATTTATTGTGGCTGAACACGTCAGGTTTGAGTTTTCGCGAAACATGCGAAGAATTCAAGTGTCGCCAACAGGTCATTTCAGGTGTGGAAAAAGAGCACAGAGCGCCTTCTTCAAATAGAATCGGATTGGAGTAGAACAAAAGTTTTACCTTTAGACCTCTTCATAATTACATCAGATGGAGTACCTGGTGATCGCCACTCCGTCGGGAATGCCTCATTTTCGTCACTGTTTTCTCCCCCGAACCATAGACGCATCTCCGGTCATGCTGTTCTCTCTGAGAAACTTGGATCACTTAACAGTCTTCAAGAGGTGCTCACTAGGCCTAATTGTTTTACGTATTTCAGAGCAGTGCTTCTCTTAATTCTTGGTCGTCTCGTGCGATTCATAAACTCGATCAAGTCTAGTGAGACTAAAGTGATCTCAGTAGAGAGACCGCTGCAAGGAGCAAAAAACCTACTTCCATAATCGGTATCTGAAAGACAAGTTTTCGGCATAACAAGTGACTCGCGTCGGATGTATGGATCTTAGCGATTGGACGAAACCGTATAGTACACATACTGGGCAACGATTTAAATATGTTCATACTACAGGCTCACAATTGGTTTAGTAAGTTGTTCGAGAATAACCTGTGAGTTTCAAACGAAATCCCTTGTGTGAAATCTTTTATTTTATTATTTACAGGATATCTTAATAACATCAATTCACTTTCTCGTTACATGTCTCGTGATGTTCTCCAAAAAGATTCAGTCTTATCCCTTCACCGTTTTACAGATNTTACAGATCAACACAGTTGACGACTTTAATGATTGGGTTCAAAAAATACTAATTCCGGGGTTGCGTGCAAAACGTTGGTACAACCAAGAACCGCCGCTGTTTCAACGCGGATTCCTCAAAGACAGAAGCGATCGAATCATTGGTTACGGACTGATGAGACAGCTGCGTGTAAAACCGAGTAAGCTTCAGTTTTTTCCCAGTCTTAATTATAAACATATTTAATATTACAAAACAGTTCTTACTATGTGCGTTGCAGACAAATTCGACAACATGACGCAGAAAATTAATCTGAAGGTTAAAATAGAATGCATGAAAAGTTGTCCTGTCACTGGTCTCAATCTCTAAATTTTTGTATATCTGTATCGTCTGCGTAATCATCTGCTTCAAAGTTAATACAATTTAACGTTCCCTAAGATGATTTCGTTTGATCCGTCACGTAAGTGTGATCCTTTACGGGAGTTATATGATGTTATATGAACTGGACCGTGTTTCAATCGGTGAACGAGAAAATCGGAGATCCTGGATAAGTGAGAATACTCAGCACACAATCCGTTTTGAGTTTTGATGCCTGTCAAAACTTGTGCGCACTCATGAGCTGAACATGAAACTACACAGAGATATGCCCTGCCTGTCAAAATATGATTTCACTCAAAATATTGTCATCTAACGGATATTGAAGTTGGCAGTGAAATTAAACTGTATAGTTGTCATTATATCTGGAGACCTAGTTTAAATTCATAGGTGTTTTCTCTGACGGATGAAGTTTATAGCGTTCAGAAAGAAATCTGATTTTATGTATTTTGGTGAG